GGGGGGGGGGGGGGGCATAGGGTTCAGGGCTTAGGCTGACAAGGTTCGAGCTCATCGGGTTTGGGGGCTTTGGGCCTAACCCCTAAAAAAAAAAGGGAATTTCGAGTAAGGCATGCGTCTATCTGTCTGCCTATCTATATATCTAGCTACCACTCGTTGGATCGATCTGTCTAGGTGGTCTACACGCTTGTGTCCAATATCTGTGTACCATGTATGTATGTGTATATAAGTACACATGCGGGACATACACATAGTATCATACTGAAAATAGCTACGCTACGCTTTCTAGAAAAAACAAGACATGTAAGACAAGGTACTGGATAGGTATTCTAAGCCAAGCTAGGATAGCCTAGCATAATCATATTATATAATGGAAAAAGCCATATCACACCATATCGAAACATAGCATGAGATACAACTCTAAACCCCTAAACTCTAAACCCTAAACTCTAAACCCTAAACTCTAAACCCTGAACCCTAAATCCTAAAATCCCTAAACCCTAAAACCCCTAAACCCCCTAAAACCCCTAAACCCCCTGAACCCCTAAACCCCTAAAATCCCTAGAACTAATAACAGCGTGCGCATTGCAGGTCCCAAGGAACCTCAGCTTCGCAGAGGACTCAGCAAAGATTTTTTTTAATCTATAGGAGAAAGCGATAATATAGGGGCTTTAAAAATTAGAATAGGGTTCCTTTGCGGGGTTCCTTTGAAGGATACTATAAGGGTTACTATATAGGGTTCTAGAGTGTAGGGGCCTTAATAATTAGAATAGCGTTTGAGGCTCCTTTAAAGCACAGGTTATGATAAGGAGCCCCCCTAAAATAATATTGATAATTATCTAGGCTTCTATATTGCGACTATAGGCAGCGACCCGCAAGTCTAGGCACCAGCTTTCACCCATTCTGGGACTTCCAGGTTAACCCGATAAACCCTAAACCCTAAAGTCATCTAAACATAGAGCCCCAAGGCCCTGAACCCTGAAATCTAAAGCCTAAACGCTGAACCCTAAACTCTAAACGCTACGCCCTGAGCCATACACACTAAACTCCTACTCCCCGAACCCTAAAACCCCTAAACCCCTAAACCCCTAAACCTCAAACCCTAAACCCTAAACCCTAAACCCTAAACCCTACAACCGAAGACCTGGACCCTAAACCTCTAGGCCCTAAGCTCTGTAGCAACGAACCCCGAACCCTGCGGCAAAGAACCTCTACTCCCTAAACCCTGGGTTTAGGGTTTAGGGTTTAGGGTTTAGGGTTTAGGGCCCTAAACCCCTAACCTCCTTAACCCTAAACCCTAAACCCTAAACTCCTAAACTCGTAAACCCTAAGTCCTAAACTCCTAAACCTTAAACTCCGAAACCCTGAACCCAAACCTCCTAAACCCAAACCTCCTAAACTCCTACACCCAGACTCCTAAGCCCAAACCTCCTAAGCTCCTAAACCTTAAACTCCTAAACTCCTAGGCCCAAAACTCCTAAACCCCAACCTCCTAAACTCCTAAACTCCTAAACCCCAAGCCTTAAACACCCAAACCCCCCGAGCCGGACCTTCGTCGAGCCGCTCTCTAGCTCCGCACCAGCGGCCACGTTCTTCGCCGTCCTGGAAGCGAAGTGAGGCTTTCGGGCTTTAAACCCCTACACCCTAAACCCTATAAAGCCTAAAGCCTAAACCCCTAAACCCTAAACCCCTAAATAATTAGGGGATTTTAGGTTTTGAGGGGTTTAGGGGCCTACGGTTTCGGGCTTTGGGGGTTTTGGGGCTTCAGGGATTTAGGCTTTAGGGCTTCAGGGCGGGTTTCAGGGATTTGAGTTTTAGGCTTTAGGGCTTTAGGGCATTCGGGTTTCAGGGATTTGTTTTTTAGGCTTTAGGGCTTTCGGGTGTCAGGGATTTGAGTTTTAGGCTTTAGGGCTTTAGGGCTTTTCTGGTTTCAGGGATTTGAGTTTTAGGCTTTAGGGCTTTAGGGCATTAGGGCTTTCGAGTTTGAGGGATTTGAGTTTTAGGGCCTAGAGATTTGGGTTTTAGGGCTTTAGGGCTTCAAGGATTTAGGTCTTTTTGAGCTTTAAGGCTTAAGGGATTTAGGTTTTAGGGTTTAGGGTTTCAGGGGCTTACGCTTTAGGGTTTAGGGGTTTAGGTTTTACGGTCTAGAGCTTCAGGGGCGTAGGGCTTTAGGGTTTTAGGGTTTCGGGGTTTGGATATTAGGGACTTTAGTCGGTTAGAGGGTGTATGGTTTAGGAAAACTCTGTGTAAGGTTTTTGGGGCTTTGAGGGCTTTTGGTTGTGGGGACACCTGTTTAAGGTTGATAGGGCCTCCTGTCTAGGGTTTATAGAACTTCTCGGTTGGGATTTTAGTCTTTGTTTAAGGGGCTTGCAGTACAACTTGGGGGTTTAGGCCAGGGTTTGAGGATGTATTGCACTATACTGTACTATATGGTACCATACCATATTCATATTCAGGTACGTTCTAGTACATTGTAGTATGGTGTATAGTATAGTGTTGTAGTAAGTAGTGAATAGTAAATAGCGCATAGCAGATAGCAAATAGTCAAGAATGGTGTAAATGTAAATAGTAAACGGTAATAGTAAATAGCATAACCATCAGAAACCTCATCCACCTGGAGCACGAAATTCAATCGCTCATAAGACATTACAATGTAGCACGGCTTAGGGCATCGAGGGTGTTTAAAACAAATCTAGACCTTAGACACCCAAAACATCCTAACGACCGTACACACCATCAAAACAACTGTAAGCTGTCAATACAAAGCCAGAAACACACCGAAACACATGTCTTGCCAATCCTGGTCAAGCGTTTTATAGGGCATTAGGAGTTTTGAACCTTTGTTCAACCAGCTTTGTGGGCTTTTAGTTCTTGTCTGTTGACTGCCGCCAGCCAGATCACGCATGTTGCGTTTAAATCGCTCATCAGCTCCTTCATTTGTTTCATCTTCGCATGGCCCTTTGCCATGTTGATGATGACTGTCGGGACATCGAAGTTCATGGATGCCATTGCCAAGCTAGTGCAAAAGATCTGCACTCCAAAGCTGTGTGTCAACAGCCCTCCGGATGAGACCATGGCTTTCCGCATAAACGCACCATCATTTGAGTAAAGAATGTGTTGGGGCTCTAAGTACCCATGGCACCTTGAGACAAAGGCTTCACCCAACAAGAGGCACAGAAATCAACATGAAAAAACTCCACACCACGCCAGAACCTGTTTCGATCGTATACTGTAGAACCCCCGCGACGTTTTATCATTAGAAACCTTCAAAGACCCCTTGCTAGAACCCTTAGTAACCTTGAAAACCATGCTACCCGAGAACTCGTGTAGACCCTATAGAGCCTTAGAAACCGAACAACAAGACCCTTTGCTAGAACCTTTATTTATCACGTGCCCAGGACGAACCTCCGGAGCTTGTCTCTGTACCGGGCTGTTGCCATGGTGTCCTCGCAATGCTACCGGCTAGCGCTAGTCTAGGGGTTTAGGGTTTCGGGCTCGACTGTATAACGTTTAGGGATTTAGGGTTAAGGGCTCTGCTGTAAAGTTTAGGGGTTTAGGGTTTAGGGCTCTACTGTAAAGTTTAAGGGATTTTGGTTTAGGGCTCTACTGACTCTACTGTAAAGTTTAGGGGTTCAGTGTCTAGGGCTCTACTATAAGCCCCTATACTGGTTCAGGGTTTGTTAAGGTGTTGCACTTAAGGGGGAACTGACTCATAAAGCCCGAGGGTTTCGGTGGTATATGCTTGCAGAACTATCCAGGGACGAGATGGGTGTACTAATTGTAGTTGCTCAAACCCCTCTATCATGAATACTCTCAGGATCTAGACTAGACCTAAGTCATCTGAACCGTTCCCCTAAACCTTGAAGCCTGAACCCTAAGCCCATACAAGTTACGGAAACCATCTGAGCCCTGCACGCCTAGACCTTGACACCGAAACCCGAAGCCCCTGAGCCCGAGCCGAATCCTAGACTCTTTAAAATAGGCATGGGTTTAGGGTTTTAGGGTTTAGGGTTTTAGGGTTTAGGGTTTAGGGTTTTAGAGTTTAGGGTTTAGGGTTTAGGGTTTAGGGCTTAGGGGTTTAGGGTTTAGGGCTTACGGTTGTGGATTTTGGGTTGTGGGGTTGATAGGGCCTTAAACTTTACCCTAAATCAAAGTTACCTTCCAGTCCTGCAGCTTCCGTTCGAAGTCGTCCATGGAAGCATCCCGCTGCTGGGCAAGTGGCGTGCGTTGGTTGGTTGCTGAGTTGTCTAGGTTTTGGTCTTTTGGGTTCAGGATGTAATGCTGCGTTTTTGAGCCCTAAAACATTGGGATGTTAGAAAAACGGTGCTAGTTGAAGACTCATTACTTTCAGCTGTACTTAGGACATCACAGAATCAAGGATTCCCTACATCTACAGCTCGAACCGTGCACCCGAAACGCTGGATGTTTAGCCTTTCGTTGCGGTGATCTAAGCCAACAAAAAGCATGGTACTTGAGCACCAAACCCTCAGCCTGGGCCCCTTTTCCAAAAAAAAGATCCGAAAACAAGCAAACCTGAAGCCCAAACCCTAAACCACAACAGCCTCCACGTACGAACGCCCAAAGCTTAAAGCCAGCAAAGCCCTGAAGCAGCCAAGAAGTCAGTGAATGATCCTACTTGGCCCTTGCAGAGCTGCGCACCTCGCTGACAGATTCAAAGCTGATCCCTCTGTAAAGCTTTACCAAACCCGGGGGGCGTTTAGGGTTTAGGGTTTAAGGACCCTCGCTTATTGGTTTTGAAAGAAGAGCCCCCCAACACAGGACGGATCAGAGTGGTACTGCTGAGGGACATGGCATTCGGGCATCGGGGCTTTATGTCGCAGCTTCACAGCTCGAAGATCTTGTGCTCAAGAGTTTAGGGCCCGCGGTAAGAGAAGGACCCCCCAAATACCATCTATAAGAACTGAAGACTGGGATAGGGTTTGGGGTATAGTAGACTAGATTGTTGTTCAGTTCAGTAACCCGAAAGAACTAAGGAGTTGTAAAGTCTTCCCGAATGAATTATGTATTTGGGAGTTTCCGAAAGATAGGGTACTTTATGTTAGGGGTCCTTATAATGAGGATCCTCCCATCTAGGGTCCTATATTAGGGTCCCCTATTTTCGCGAAGCCCCCATTTGGAGCGAGTGCAATGAACCAACTTGGCGTACTTCTGAACCCCTCCTAAAAGTTAAACTTTTAGCCTAGATATTATAGTTCATATAGAAACCCAAAAAGTTAAAGTCTAAAGAGCCAACCAGAAGAACGCTAAGCCAACGTCATCAATGCCTCGCCTCGCGATCGACGGTGACGACGGGCTTGCCGTGCTCGTCTCGCGTGCACTCCACGTGGAAGATCTGCTTGACCTGATGTACTGCTTAATGTAGGGGCCTCAATAATTAGATTAGGGTTTTGGGGGCTTCCTTATTGTAATTCTAGTATAATCTACCCCAAACCATATTCTAATTATTAAGGCCCCTATACTAGAACTACGACTCAGAACTTGGGTGGAATCATGTTTTCACAGGCCGACCCAGCGATTATTCAGTGATTCCAAGTAGCAAGGAGCGAAGGTGCCAGGTGATTTCGGTGGTTGTTGAACGGCTTTTGGGTGAGGTTCGATCCTGTTTCAATGGTTGTTCGGTGATTTTGGATCGGGCCCGAGATGCTTCGAACGGGTCAAGGGAAACTCTCTCAGCAAACGACACACGACACATCACAGGAAGCATCATTCCAGAATTATACAAAGTCATTCCAAAGAGGGCTTAGGGCTCAGGGTAGTTAAAGCCTCACCTGTGCCTCCAACTGCCAACAATTTTACCAGCACTACCCTATCAGTAACTGGTGGATCATAACCTATTGTTTTGCAAAGGTACCATAAAAGAATAGTTTGAGTTTATGGGGGGTCTTACACTCCTTTGTTCCTTCACTGGGAGCTGGGATTAGGGGGACCCTTGAGGACATAGACCCTGTCAATAAGGTCCCTCTAAGTCCCTTTTAAGGGAGCCATAAGTAGGGCCAAGAGGGGTCCCGTTGAAGGGCCTCCCTACTACCTAGGACTGTTGCTATGTGAGGCACTGGTCCACTGATCCAAAGGCTTGCCCTCAACGGTAAATCCCAAATCCATAAGGAGCAGTGTTCTGCAGGTCCATGTAGGCTAGCCACCGCTCGGTCGGGATCGTACGTCGCGTTTGGCGGCGTCCTTAGGTTATATGAACGGCCTTTAGGGCCGTAGGGTAAAGGCCTTCGGTGGGTCAAGGGCTTCAAGGTTTTCAGTGCTAAAGCTACAAAGCCTGAAGCCGTCATCCCAATGCTACCTAGATAGCGAACGTTCTAGACTAGAGGCGTGTTTTGAAAGAAAGACCATGGAGACTATGCTTGCTGTCTTGATGATGGCACGCAATGGCTGCCTTTTGCACTTGGAACAACGAGGCTATCTGATTCCGAAGTTGTGTGCTAAGATTCAGAGTTCAGTGGTTCGGATTTAGGGTTTAGGGTCTTAGGGCTTAGGGCTCAGGGCTTAAAGGCTTAAGGGTTTGTTACAGGGCTTCATTGACAACAATTTGAAAAGGCTTCTCATAAAACAAGGAACCACTTGCGGCCCCATGCGAATGCACAGGAGGCTCGGATGGCACCCTGTATTATACGCTGGCTCAGAGGAATGAACCTGTGCCACCGATAACTTAAAACCGCTTCCAAATTCCAACTCCCTAAACCCTAAACCCTGAACACGCGCCCCAAATGCAACCAACCCAACCCTAAACCCTAAACCCTAAACCGTAAACCCTAAACCCGAACGGTACCTGGAAGTCTTGACCTCCCTATCCCCCAAACTGTGGACTCCGGGAAGCTGCGCAGCTCTACAGCTTACCCATAGGCCCCATAGTAGTTCCTTTTTTGGGATTCCCTAATGGAATCCTAAATATAAGCCACAAAAGGGAACTACTATGGGGCCTATGGGTACAGCTTTGAGGTCCGGCGGGCTTTGGTTTAGGGTTTAGGATTCCCCGGGTCCCTTAACCGTTAAGGGATTCAAAGGTTTAGGATTCCGGAGGGTTTATTTGAGGGGTTTACGGTTTAGGGTTTAGGGTTTAGGGTTGAGGGTCAGGGTTCCGGGGTTTAGGGTTTGGTGGTTGAGGTTTTAGGACTCAAGCGGGAACCCCTAAGACCATCTCCTTTTCCTGCTCCGCCGAAGTGCTGTGCCCGCGCGTCCCAGAGCTTCTCGCCACGGCCGACGCGAAGGCAGGTCTCGCAGCCAAGCTTGTGGCTTTGGGTTTAGAACTATAGTAGTTCGGGCTTGACTTGAAGGGTGCACGGTTTACAGGGATGCAATATAATAGTATCAATATATAAGATAAGGCAAGACAAGACCCTGAACCCTAAACCCCTAAACCCTAAACCCTAAACCCTAAACCCTAAACCCCTAAACCCTACACGTAATCTACTTAGCAGATACAAGCAGCTCTGGGACTCCCAGGTCAGGTTGGCTTAGCAGGTGCAGCAGCAAGCTCGTCAGGGTTTAGGCTTTAGGTAAACCCCAGACCCTCCAATATCCCTCAATTAAGAAACATACCGTAACATAGCTTAATTTATATTAGGGCTTATCAGGGATCCTATCATTATTTTCAGGTAATCTGTACCTATATAGGTTCCTTTGAGGTTTCCTTTAGGGGTTTAGGGTCTTAGGGTTCCTTTAAGGGTTCCTATGTACCTCTATTACATTAGTAGAGTGTGACGTTTCTGTATTAGGAGCTACCAGTCTGATGAAGGGAAGTATCCCAAGTAACAGTACATAAGATGCTGCAGAAAACAGCTATGAAACATGTAACTCGGCTTGAGGCCCAGGAAAGGCAGCAGGATTCCGAATACCCCGCCCGTGCACAGCACTTTGAACAACTATGTCGGGTTTAGGGTTCAGGGTTTCGGTTTAGGGTTTAGGGTTTAGAGGTTTAGGATTTAGGGTTTAGGGTTTATGGCAACTTCTAGTAAAACTGAACTTCCAAGTCTCTCTGCAACATAAGAGCAGTCATGGAGGAAATCTAGACATTCTAGGTTGCACGCTGCCCCCTCAACCATGCGGAGACCCTCGCTCCTGTGGTCCAGCTTTAAGCCTTTAAGCCTCAGAAGGGCAACCCCCGTAAAAAGAACGCAACTGGGTGGTAGCTTATAGTGCTTGAAATTCTTGAATTGCTGGCTTTCGGTGATTCTTCAGGCCGGAGGACTTCGGGAAGGCTCACTCCTAACCCCCAAAGCTCTGCACTCGAAGCAATGAACCACCAAACTCAACCAATCCCGGGGCCCTCGACGAACTCCACGAATCCCGGAGCCTTGATGAAGAGCATAGGCTGTAAGGGTAGACTGCAGTCATACTAGAGAACTTTCAAACAATCGCTACTTTCATCACTACCTTCAGGCCACTGAAATAAACCCTGGCAGCAAAACAATTCCAGCCAAAAATCCACCATGAGCCCTAATCCCTAAACTTTTGAGCCCTTGTGCCTAAACTTTTGAGCCCTTATTAACCCAAGACCCTAAACCCTAAACCCTGAACTCTAAACTTATGAACCCTTATTAACCCAAGACCCGAAACCCTGAAAGCCTTAAACTCTAAACTTTTGAGCCCTCAAAAACCCAAGACCCAAAACCCAAAACCCTAAACTCTTAACTTTTGAGCCCCTTATCAAGCCTAAACCCTAAACCCTAGACCCTAAACTTTTGAGCCCTTTATCAACCCTAAACCCTAAACCCTAAACCCTAAACCCTAGACCCTAAACCCTAAACCCTAAACCCTTTAAACCCTAGACCCTAGACCCTAAACCCTGAACCCTAGACCCTAAACCCTAAACCCTAAACCCTAAACCTTACACCCAAAACCCTAAACCCTAAACCCTAGACCCTAGACCCTAAACCCTAAACCCGTTAAACCCTAAACCCTAAACCCTAAACCCTAGAACCTAGACCCTAAACCCTAAACCCTAAACCCTAAA